GGCCGGGCCGCGTGGACCAGACGTCGAAGCGTCCAGCACAATACACGGTCGGCCGCGCTCCGTCCGTCCCGGGGACATAGGACGGGTCAGCGCCAGCCGACGTCCGGGGCGATGCTCACCCCCGAGGTCACAGATGTGTGGGAACCGGGACAGGTCGAAGGCGGCCAGCACACGGCTCCCGCTGACGCTCCACACCTCCTGGAGCCCTCGCATGAACAGCAACCGCTCACCCTCGGACCTGCGGTGCAAAGGACGCTGCTGACCGTCACGTGAAACCCGGCAGCTCCGAGCCCAGCACGGGCGCGAGTCGTCCTGTGCGAGGGAGACGTGGATCTCCCACGTGTGTGTAAGTGAACTGTGCATTTGTTAAACGGGATCTACGTGTCCGCCTCTGCCCCGCCGATGGGACAAAGTACCTGACATACAACTAAGAGGGGACAGGTTTACGGCGCTCAAGGTTTCAGAGGCCTCAACCCTTGTTCGGCCGTGATGTGAGCGTCTTTCCTCCAGCTAAACCTTCTGCCACGGTGTTTCTGCCTTGGAGCAGCCGACCACGGACTGAGCCCCCCGAGACCCCTGGACCACAAACTGAACCCTCTATAAACTGTGAGTGAAAATAAAACTCTCCTTCTGTAAGTTGTGGGCGTCAGCTCTGTCCCTCAGCAATGAGAAAATGACTAAAACGGGCAGGTTTGCTTCCACCTGGGAGTTCACACGAAGCAAACAGGAGTGGGCGGGTTATTTTCAATCACGTGTCGACTGCTTTGCACTTCTCTTTGGAACGTGTCGAGGGCGTCTCGTAAGTGACAGTGGTATTGGGGTTGGGGCCCTAACGGACTCCACGCACCTGTAGATGGCTGTGAAGAGGTCACCAGAGGGAACAGCGAAAGCCTTCTCGTACTGATTCTTCCCTTCTCTGAGAAACAGAGGAAAAGCTTTTACTGAGGCAGTTAGGCACGTAACTCCAGGCGTGGGCGCACACGCCTGTCATCCCAGCTCTCCGGGAGGCTGAGGCAGGAGGGCTGCTAGTTTAAACCCAGCCTGGGCAACTTAGCAACTTAGCGAGACGCCATCTCAAAATAAAAACCAAACAAAGAGCTGGAGTCGCAGCTCCCTGTGAAGACCCTGGGTTTAGTCTCCGGTCCTGTAATGTCTCGTGTCCATTGATCAATTAACTACCCATCAATCGACTTTCCATTTCCTCCCCCGCCCCCCCCCGCTTCCTCTCCCTCCTCTCCCCCTCCCTCTCAGTGGTTTCCGACCCTGGAGGTGGAGCCCAGAGAGGCTGTTTTCCTGCTTTGCCACGCACGGCACAGCCCCACAGAGAATCTGCGGCCCCCGGTGCCCACGGCACCCATAACCCGAGGTAGACGCAACACCGTCGGGAGCCGGTGTGTCAGTAGCCCTGCTCTGAGGCAGTCCCCGCAGACGAGAGCCATCCGCGGATCTTCCCCGGGCGAGGGAGCCCAGCCCGGAGACCGGGTGGATGTGACCGTCCACACCCACAGGAGTCGCCGATTGGGTCTCCAGTCCCCAGTTCTGCTCCACAAGCGAGCCGCCCGCCCCGGTCCTTGGTCCCCGGGGCACGGAGCGCACCTCACGGCCTCAGCCAGGTGCCCCCAGCAGCGGTAGGTGGTCCTGGCCAGGTACAGCAGCATGTGCACCTGGGACGTCGGGCTGAGGCTGGTGAGGTAGGCGCCGGACAGCTCTGTGTTTCCGTAGACAGCTGCGGACAGACAGAGAGCAGGGAACAGGAGTTCTTTGTTACCCACGTGCCGTGAACTTGACTCTGGATAGAATCCCGGGAGCCGGGGCTCACGGAGAAGGAGGCGGGGGCCAGGCGGGGGCCAGGCGGGGTCAGCGCCGTGCTGGGCATGGCCACCCCAACCCCGCTGTGCAGGTGGGCACAAGGAAACGGAGGAGGAGCCCTGTGGTGCCGTCCGTGGACCTTCTCATAACGGCTTCTGTAGAAACAGACCGACGGGAGACACCACAGCTCAGGAAGGAGACGGAGAGGGCGGCCCTGACGCTCCCCAGGGGACCGAACATCAGGGCGGGAGACCAGAGACGGCGCTGTGGGTCCTACACAGCACAGCACGGAGGACCGGGGAGGAGGCAGAAGATAGAAG